TGTAATGTTCAGTTATACATTTTTGCGTCAATGCCATTTTTGGTCCCTAAAATTTGATTTTATTTTGATTTTAGTCTCAAAAATTTATAACCAATGACTTTGGTCCTTAAAATCTTATTTTAGGAACCAAAAATACTATTCCAGGGATTAAAAGTCTTTAAACAGACTAAAATGTGGTTATATTGTTAGGACCAAAACCAATAATTTCAAATTTTAGGGATTAAAACTAAAATAAAGTCAAACTTCAAGAACAAAAAATGATGCTAGCTCTAAATTTTTTATCAAAATCTAATGAAGTAGAGTAGCTAGGAGGATCTATCACAGACTGATTTTGTTTGCAATTTATTTTTCAATAATAGTATATAATTGCTTGATCTTTCACATTTTGCAGGGCACTACTTGAGTGCATCGGCTCGAATGTGGGCTAGCACACATAATGATACTCTGAAAGAGAAAATGTCAGCTCTTGTTATTGGTCTTTCAGCTTGTCAGCAAAAATTTGGTACAGGATATCTTTCCGCATTTCCATCTGAATTCTTTGATCGTTTTGAAGAACTTCAGTATGTGTGGGCTCCCTATTACACTATTCACAAGGTACGTTAATAGTGAACTTGTTTATGATTATACAATTATATACTAGTGGGGGGATATTTTGTGGGATTGAATCAATTAGTCAATTTTGACAGATTATGGCTGGCTTGTTAGACCAACACACTATAGCTGGAGACCCTCAAGCTCTAAAAATGCTAATATGGATGGTTGAGTACTTTTACAACCGTGTGCTGAATGTAATCACAAAGTACACTATAAACAGACATTATCAATCATTGAACGAGGAAGTTGGAGGAATGAATGATATCCTTTACAATTTATATAGCATAACGGTAGGATAATTTCTTTTCTAGTAACGATATTAATTTCTTATACAATGGTTTTCACACACACACACACACTTTGTTGATATAACTTATTGAGTCATCTTGGGTAATCATTGAATGAGGAAGTTAGAGGAATGAATGATATTCTTTACAATTTATATAGCATAACAGTGGGATAATTGCTTTTCTGGTAACTATATTAATTTTCTTATACAATGGTTTTCACACACACACACACACACTTTTTGATATAACTTATTAAGTCATCTTGGGTCTGGCCATGCCCTAAGTTGATTTTTCTAGCCTATGGCATTTTGTAATTCTTTCACCAAGCATCATGCCTAGGTGAAACTTGATAGAGTTGGACTTAAGAAAAACCCTAGATATAAATATAAGTTCGATAAGACAAAAGTTCATAATTATAACTCAACACCCAATACTTGCTCTTACATTCAAATATGAAATTGTATCTATCTTGTTAACCTATGCAGAGAGATCCAAAGCATCTATTGTTGGCTCACCTTTTTGATAAGCCATGCTTTTTAGGACTGCTTGCTGTCCAGGTAATAATTTTTTTTATTATTAATATATTATATATTTTATGTTAATTTAAACTATATTAATGAACCTACATTATTGTAACTTACAAAATTGTAAAGCCATTACAAGACCTAAACACCCAATTCCCTATTTACTTTTCTTACAAAGCCCAAGAGTTTTAAATTTTCAATTTTTCCCCATGTAGGCTGATGACATTGCAAACTTGCATGCTAATACACATATACCAATTGTTGTTGGATCTCAAATGCGATATGAAGTCACCGGTGATCCACTTTATAAGGTAAATTTCTACTTGTTTATATATTATATCATGTTTATTTACTATTTGTTACCCTTAATTTAGATATTTTTATTTATATTATTTATAGAGTTTCATTTTTATGTTTTCTTCTCAATTATGTAATATGATTATTTTCAGTAATGCCTTGTGAAATATGTGAAGATAATAAACATTCAAAACTCAATACTTAGTTTCTAACTAGCTCCATTGATTTTTTTGCTTTTTCATAGGAAATTGGAACATTCTTCATGGACCTCATTAACTCGTCTCACAGTTATGCAACTGGAGGGACTTCAGTTTCAGAGTGGTGGTAATGTGGCCTAATAATTAATTAATTTTCATTTTTCCCATATGAAACTCAAATGATTCTTTAGTAGCAATTGTTGTGTTCCTTCTTTTATAGCAGTTAGTTGCTGATGTCTTCTTTGTGTAGGAATGATCCAAAAAGAATAGCAGATAACATCCTGAAAACAGTAGAAACTGAAGAATCATGCTCAACTTATAACATGTTGAAGGTATTATTAATCATCTATCATTTTCATTGTTTTTGATGGAATACTTATAAGGAAGAAAGTATATTTAGGGAAAAATTTTAAAGCTCATATTATAAGTTGTTGTATAGTAATTTTATTGTATCAACAATGAAAAATTAACAGAGTTAGTGATTTCTTAGGTTTCAAGGTACTTATTTAGATGGACCAAGGAAGTAACATATGCAGATTATTATGAACGCGCCTTAACAAATGGTGTGCTAAGTATTCAAAGAGGCACAGATCCTGGAGTGATGATTTATATGCTCCCTCTTGGCCCTGGGGTTTCAAAGGCTAAAACTGAACATAGTTGGGGAACAAAATTGACTCTTTTTGGTGTTGTTATGGAACTGGTAATTCAAATGTTGTGCTTATGTAATCTCTTACATTGTATGGATCATAATATATCCTTTGATAACTCAAACTTCCATGCTCTTATGATATCCACTTTTTTTTTTGGTATTCTTTAGGTATTGAATCATTTTCAAAGTTAGGGGATTCAATTTATTTTGAACAAGAAGGAAACCCAACTCTTTACATAATCCAATACATATCAAGCTCTTTCAATTGGAAGTCTGGGGGTCTCATGCTTAATCAGACTGTGGCTCCTACTACTTCATGGGATCCTTACTTAAGAGTCACTATCACATTCTCTCCTGCAATGGTACTTACAACATTACCTAATATTCATCTTTAACTATTTTAGACTGAGCATCATCATGATGCCTAATTTGGTTGAAGTTTGGCTTGTTTTGTTCTCATCCACTTTTCACTAGGTAGTTCTATCATTTTTAAGGGGGGAAAATAGGAAAAGTGCTACAATTTTAATATCTAAAACTCAAAATATACACTTTTGCAGGGAATTGGATCTTCCTCTACGTTGAATTTAAGAATACCAACATGGACACATTTAGACAATGCCAAAGCTTTATTAAATGATCAGACTTTATCTCTACCTTCTCCTGGTATTTTACTCTTTCCAACTTCAACTAATGCATTGGCAAGGCTAAGATTTGAAAGTAAATTTTATTTTGTGGACATATAGGAAACTTTTTGTCAATCACAAGAAAATGGAGTGCTAATGACAAGCTAACCCTTCAATTTCCTCTTACTATTAGAACAGAAGCTATAAAAGGTAGAAATCTATTTGTACTTTTCACTTTCGTTTCATACAAAGAGGAAAAAAAAGTTCTTATTATTGATATTGTATTTTGAATTGTATTCGATTGATCAGATGACAGACCAGAATATGCTTCTGTTCAAGCAATCCTTTATGGTCCTTATCTTCTTGTTGGCCATACCTCTGGTGATTGGGATATTAAAATTGGGTCAAATACATCTATTGCTAACTGGATTACTCCAATCCTTACGAGTTACAATAGTCAACTGGCAACTTTTTCCCAAGTCATTTCAAGCTCAACTTTTGCTCTAACAAACTCAAATCAATCTCTCATAATGCAAAATTTACCTGGACCTGGCAACGAATCAACCCCTCACGTGACGTTCAGACTTATTCCAAGTGAACTAATCTCACAATTTTCAACAGTGAGAGATGCTATTGGTAAATCAATAATGTTGGAGCCATATGATCTCCCTGGAAAGCTCTTGATGCACCAAGGAGTAGAAAATAGTCTTGTGATTACAGATTCTTCTAATGGTGGGGTCTCAAGTGTTTTCAATATGGTAGCAGGATTAGACGGACAAAATGAAACTATATCCTTAGAAGCCAAAAGCAATAAAGGTTGTTTCATGTGCAGTACTGATTCTGGTGCAAGCGTCAAGCTAAGATGCAAGTCTGGTTCAGATGTTAACTTCAATCGAGCCGCAAGCTTTATACTTACAGAAGGATTAAGCCAGTATGATCCCATCAGTTTTGTGGCTAAAGGGGAAAAGAGGAATTTTGTCTTGGAGCCGTTATACTCCTTCAGAGATGAAACTTATACAGTTTATTTTAACATTCAAAATTGATATAGGTTTTATTTTTCCTCCTCTCAAGAGATAGGGAGATGATTAGAAATTGGATATGGTTATATTCCATGAAGAGGGGGATTGAAATATCTCAAATGATATGAATTATGATGATACAATGTAAAGAATAATTAAATGAATTAATGAATATATGGGGAAAATTGATCTAATAATCCCTATAATTTGTATCATATTTAATTTGTTCTGAAAGTTAGAATTTTTGAAGACATCTTTGTATTGTTCATCCTCTATAGGCTTGTGGATTAATATTAAGAAAAAAATTGCCAAAGTTACCTCTGGTTTTCTAATACCAAAACAGGGTTTTGATTAATCAATGATTTTGATCACTTTTCCTACTAGTTTTAATGATATATATATATATATATATATATATATATATATATATAAGAGACATGGAACCCATTCTCTTATGTCTCCTCTAACTTGGAGGAGAAGGAACTGAACAAGTTGGGTTCAGTGTAAATAACTCTGAGGACAAGTGCTCCTCCATTTAATTTCTAATCATCCAGTGACTGAAAGAAGAAATAGATTCAACCTGAAATCCCTAAGATGACTCATCATATTGAAATTAGGTATGGTTTTTAGTTTTCAATCTCTCTTTCAGTAGAAGTTGTATATTTATTGTTGTAAAGCGTATATATGTAATCAAATCTATAACAAATTATAGTACCCACAGATTATGAATGTTGAAATTTATTCATCAGATTGAAGGATTCAAATTGGCCCTAAGCTGTGTTGGTCTTAGTTAGAGTGGAAGCAATATAACATGTAAAAACAGCGACAATCTGGCATTATAAATATATAAATAAGAAATATTTACACGCTAAGACTCACACCATTTATACATACATATATATAAAGAAAGGAAACATTATTTAACAAACACTATTAGTCACAACGAGAGTGGCAAAAATTAGAATGATATTCTAAATAGAAGTTTCAACGGCTACACTTGGCAGATGGGCTTCCCTTGATGACTGTAACGGGGCAAGAAGCATTTCTCACCACATGATTGCTTACACTCCCTAGCAACACCCTATCATCATCATCATCAATAATTTCAATCTTTGGTATGAAAACTATTTAACTAATTTGAATAGATTATTAAGTCAAATAAATTAGTTAATTATAACAAATGTGATAAGTTATTAGTTTTGAAAAAAATGATAAATATAAAAAACAAAATAAATTGAGATTTTATATTTAAAACTAAATCCAATGATTCAACTAATTCTTATAATAAAGAGTGGAGGTAGGTAGTACTATAATTTAAAATATAAAGAGAGAAGAAAGTGTGTTGCCTTTTGATGGGACCAAAACCCCTACTTCCAACGACCAAAGAGTCAAGTTGTAGCTGATTAACAGCTTTGCACAGCTTCTCTTTTGGATCCCCCCAATATACCTTTGCCTCTACCTTTGCCTGTTACACATATTCACAAGCACACACCAATACCGCTTCTTCATAATTCATAAACTATTAAATAACCTTTCAATTCATACGAGAGAAATAAAATTGCCGAATAACACAGCAAGCAATAATAAGCAAACAAACAAAATCTACACACAGATATATACCCCTCTGGTTTTTGAGCCAGTGTCAAGGATAGCCATCACTTCCGGGTCCCTAGGAATCCCATATTGCTTCACCAAGTTGGTCTCTCTCAGTTCCTCCAAAGGCACCAAAGCTGCAAGACCCATGCATACATACATACATACTTGTATATTTATATATCAAAAAACCTGAACTGAAGTTATATATAAGCATGAATGGACAAGAGAGACGTATATACGTGAACCAGTGTCGTGGAAAAGGTCTTTCCTAGTGTGATCAGAGTGGGAAGGCTGAACGTTGATGAGGATGAGGCGATCCCCTTTGTCGGTGAGATTATGGAGAGCCCATTTGAGGGCTGATTTGCTGGTCGGAGAGAAGTCCACAGCTACACCAACGGTACGTGTCTTTGCCATCGATGCTGATCTTAACAAGTTCCCAGGTCTTGTGTTTCTTTTATAATGGTATTTATTTGCTTTTATGTTTATTCTGTATTGAGTTGTTTGGCGACTTTGCGGCTGGTTTCGAAATCCTCTGGGTCGGAGAATATTTTGGTGCTATGCAGTTGAAAAGATGGATAAAGAATAGTGGAAAAAAAGAGAATTTTTGTGGAATATGATGAGCTGTGTATAGTCAATTTTATTCCTTAAAGATAAGAGTGAGTGCATGTTTGGAACGGTGTCAAAGAACTTGTCGCTTAATCGGCTCCCTTGTGGGGGAGGGGGTTTTAAATTCTCTCTCCCCCTCTCTATATATACATGTGTGTGTGTGTATACAAGACATTTTTTTCTCAATTTCAGTTTGCAAAAATTCACTGATATAAAAGTCATTTTTACCGCTGTTAATATGAACAAGCTCTTAACTGTTAAACATGGTGGGAACAGGAAACAGGGAACTTTGAGCAGACAACTGCGAACTATTCGGCTGATGCGATACAGCTAAACAACAACTTTCTAACGTAGAAATCCACAGATAATAAACTAGCTAATGCCTATACCTGTCAAGAGATGCTCATGATCAAAGAGGATTCTAGTTTTGTACCCAAGAAAAAATACGTCATATAAAATAATAACTACTTGCTACGCACAAAGATACCAATGATTAAAAAAATTAATATCTGTCAAAATGCTGAGAATACGATGTAGACCCTCATATAAATTGAGTTTTTTAATATATGATGGTTAAAAATTGATTTCATAATTAACTAGTTGTTTAAATTATATTTATAAGAGTCCTACTTGTAAAACTTGTGTGAAAGTTCTTACTGATCGCGTTAATCTAAGTTGAATGTCTTGCCAATCACGTTAACAGAAGTTGAGATTATACTGCAAAATTATGATTCAATTTTGAGGTAGATTAAGAATATTATTAATTAGATTATAAAATGCTTTATAAGGTAGTGTTTAAGACCAAAACTAACTGAAAAACTCAGGTGAGCATAATTTCTTTTTGCAGTTCTTTTTCATGAACTATATATTATTCTCCCTCTGTTCATATTTATAAGAAACAATTTACTAGCTACTCATTATAAGTACGTTCATGGAAGTCAAGAACACTTCAAAAATTAAAAGAAAGAATTTTTCTCCCATACTTATTTCGTACAATGTAAATTATAATTGAAAAGTTACTTTTAAACACTCCAATTACCATCCTAAATAAGTCCTTAATCAATTGAACTAACGTATGTTTTTCCGTACCATGAGTTATGTTATAATACCTCCGGTCCTAATTATAAGAGCCAGTTGATTAATTTGAGGAGATTAAGAAAGTAAGTTAAGTTAGTTATTTGTCCTAAATAGGTGTTGTTTTTCTTAAAATATCCTTACTAATCAAGTGTATTGACTAGAACTATCATTTTTAGAAAGGCTACTTTGGAAAAAAATGTATAAATATGAAAGACAAAGTAGATTGTGGTCTTATATTTAGGACTAAAATAAAAATCAGACAGGGTCTTATATTAAGACCGGAGGCGGTAACTTATAAGGCTCCAGCCTTGGATATATAATAGGAAGGGTTTCAAATTAAATAAAATCATATTACATTTTTCAAGTGTGTTACATTGCAAGATTTTTTTTGGACAAAGTGAATATGGACCTGTCCCTCATAAAGACGCATTATATTCCCATGAAATTCATTTTTGGATTCTTTTGTTACTTTTTGGCTTATTATATTGGACTCGTTTTCTTTCCTTTTAATCCCTAATGCACATTCCTTCTTCCTTCAAAGCTTGCGATGTTAAAGCAAGCCTATTGTAATTTATGTTTTTGATCTGCTAAAAACAAAACAAAAAAAAACATGCCAGCCGTAATTTTGCTTAGTTTACGTAAAATTAACCCCAAAAAAACGACATAAACCCTTCGTCTATGTAAATGATAGCAAATATTTGTAGGGTCTGGTTTTCTAGTGTTCAGTCAAATAAAAAAAAAAAAAAAAAGCAGAAAGGCTCTTGTAATTGGGATTTTCTCTTTTTAATTTCTACTTTACTTTCAGAGATAGATAATTGTTTCTGACAGCTTCATGAACAACAAACTCCATGGTGGTACTTCACAAGCACTGCTTCCCTTCCGTGGCTTCACGTTAGTGCTGTATAATAGAGACACAGAGTATATGATGCTTCATGGACCAAGTCCTCCTTCTGCCACAAACAGGAAACCACGTGATTTAGACAGAAACAAAGAAGCACTCCATTTGTGTTAAATTTTAATTTAATTTCTAATTTTTACAATCGTTTCTTTAATGTCAACAATTGAAAGTTATTTTCATTCTGTATTTTATTTCATTGAAAATGTTTAAACTCAGATGCTGTCTGAGAAAAAAGCTTAATATGCTTCGAGTCGTTCTACAGAGAAAATTCACCCCCCCCGGGAGGGGGGGGGGGGAGCATGTTTAGGACAAAATTTCTGGCTTTATGTCTATCATATAGGCAAGGCTGAAGTAACAAAGTAATCATAGGGTGGCTGAAATATTTGGCAACATTTATTCACATTATTTTCTAATTATTAAAGAGGCAAAATTAAAAGTAAAAGAAGGAAAGAGAATAATAGCCAATCAAACAACAATTAGTGCTTCTTTGTTCATTGATGTAGAGTCTGCCAAAGTTTTAAATTGATATTAACTCCCTCAGCTACTTATTCTACTTTTGTTTTTTGGGTTTCCATTTGTCATTGTCGTCAGAGTCAAGTTGATGCCAAGAGACTATTCATGTTAGCTCAAACTTAATTCCTTCATAAGCAAAGATATTCATTGTGTGAGATAGGTCATCAGGAAAGACAATGGTTTTTACTTTTTCTTACTAGCGTAGCTACTAATTTAATGGGTAAAACAAACAAAACGGTAAAGGAAGCTCACAGAAATCAAGGTTGAAGTATGATGAGCTAGAAAAGTTAAAGTACTGGGTATCTTCTCCTTTTGTCCTTGTCTAGCAGAGGACAAGAGCATAAAGAAAAGTATCATAGAAAATGAAATATAACCCATGAGGAAAAGATATTCATGCTTTGAATATTTACCATGGAAGAAAAATATATAAAGAAAAAGAAAAGCTTATTTAAATTTAGAATAACCATCTACTGTCCACTTTCGTTAGTTGTTATGATTATATTCAACATCATGTAGCCAATTGCAAACAATAATTGCCTTCTGGCTTAAACTTCTTTCTGGTTTTATAAAGATAAAATGTCCCAAATGTTTTATATCCATGAAATGCTTAAAACAAAAAAGGAGAAAAAGAAAAATCAAAGATAAAACAAGACCCCTGTCTTTCTTGCTGTAGCTTTCTCTTTCTCTCTGCGATCAAATAGAGACACAGACAAAGAGACATGAGTCTCACAGAGACCATCAGAGTGAGATATCCTTTAACCTAATCATGTCATTCTTGTCTTGTACTAGCATCCCTCCGGATAATAATGCATGTTTTGAGAAGAGAACAAACGAGCCTGTTTTCATTTCCCGAAAGAATAAAAAACCTTCCCCAGTGCACCTAGACAAAAATTTAAATCAACTTCTACTCACATTGCATAATCAATAATGAACGCTTTAATTAATGTCAATTAGGTAGGTAGGTAACATCAGGATTTTAGAAGGGTCCATTGCAGCATATTCCTTAAGCCATAAAGTGAAACAGATAAAAATAGCTACTTGTTCATAAGTGAGTCTTCAACCCTACATATAAAAAGGGCTTTCTTCTATGTCATAATTCATACCCAACACAGCTTGTGTTCTCACTCTCTTGCCTCCATGGACTTGGAAATTGGAGTCACTAGTTCAGATACATCTCTTGGTACATACGTTATGTTTTCAGTTCCCCTTCCTCTTTGATTTCTACTTTTCTAGCTTTAACTTGTTTGCCTGCATACCACTAGCTGACATTTTACTGTTTTTTCCCTCTCTTTATCTTGTTGCTGAAACAGAGTCCTGGTTTTCATCTGATAGATCTACTGGGTACCTTGAAGATGTTATTGCAGGCTGGAGTTTTTGGTACAAGCAACAAAATTTACCATTGTACTCTCTGTCTCAGGATCAAAAGGTCAATTTATAATTATAGACACGTTTCATGTTCCCTTCAACAATCACTAGTTGTCAAGTTCTTGAAACTCTAATTATGTTTTCATCTATGACAGGAAACCCATTGTCTGGCAGACCAGATAGATATATTTCCACCATGTTCTTCCACAAGAACCCAACGCCTGGTTGATGGTAAGCCATGCTCCATTTCTCTTCTTTGTTTTTCTTTTGGCCAATGCATGCACACCTTCTCTAACTCCATCTCAATGTTTATTATCCTATTCCTTCCTATTCTCTGATCCTGTGCTCCAGGTGATGGGCAGGATTTTTGTAGCCATTAAGCTTATTAATCAGATAAAAGTTAGACGCAATTTTTTTTGGCATTTGTCATCGGGATTTTTAATAAAAGCATGACAAGTGGATTCCTTTGTTGAGTCAACAGGAGGATGTTAATGCTGAGTAATAAAAACCGTTCACCCGTTATATTTTATTAAACAAAATCGTAGATAAAATCAAAAACTGCCTAAAATACTTAAGTAAGATTTGTCCTAGCAGTAGAGTCTATTATTCGAAGTAAGTTTTCAACCAAGCATTTGAATATTAACCCATCAGTATGTTACTCATTCGGGTTGCAAGCATAATGACAGTACACTGCCCACTACCGTTGCTTTTGGTACTATCGCAGTCAGTAACTGATAATTACATACCTCAGTCCCACCTGCAGATTACACCATTCCAGACAATGAAAAATTCAGCACTGGGAGCCAATCATCATCACCACAAGACACGCATGCAGCTTCAACACAGGAAGATAATCCTGAGAAGAGAAAGGCATCTATACAATCAGACGAAAACGATACTTCAGTTTCAAGTATTACACACACACTTTTCTTCAAACACAAAAGGGACATGACTAACTCAGTCATTAACTCTCTGCTTCTTTTAACTTTTTTCTT